GAGATGGTCCTCTCGGCAACCATGATTAGGGTCATAGTTGCGAGAACCCATCAGGGTTCAAGTTTCCACGCTGCGGGGCGTGGAAACTCGGACGGGGGGTTCCCCAGGCGTGCTGCTGCTCGACACAGCTTCACAGACTAGTCCTGCATTCAAGGATGCGATATGTGATACTCGTATTAAAATCCCTTGCCTTACGCCTCTGATCTTTGCTGCCTGACCTGATGGCTTAAACTGGTTTTTGGTGACTGCATGATTGAAACCCAGATACTACGTCACAGTCGATGGTCAAAAAGCAGCGTGCTACAGTCGGCGATCCCTCCCGGTGCCCCAGCCCATCGTGGTGACGCTTTTATTAGCTGACAGAAAACCAAACGACAAGTAAAGTCAACTGTTTGCTTGTTTGAAGCGGCTGCTTTTCGGTAAGCAGCGGAAAGGTCAACAACCTGTTCAAGATCAAGGTCTCTACCTCCCCGCGGATGGGGCAACTAGACAAGCCAGGATAACTGCTCTTGGAGGCTCGAACTCGGCTCAATCAACTCGCGATACTTTGAGTTTGAGGAATCACGTAGAACTCAGTACTGGAAGTACACGACTTGAACTTCGAAAAAGCACTTAACAGAGCAACACCACTCGGTTGTCAAGCATTCACTAGTACTACCCTCCATCGAGAAGGACACTTGTTGTTGTTATCTCACCGTTCTGGTTCTAATCTACCGCATTAACCTGAATGGCGCAAACTCGAGTATCGAACGAACCCGCCAATGGAACAGGCCAGAATTGAGAGACCGATGGGGAAGCAAGTTCCTGAAAGTGCCAGGTATCATCAGCCTATTAAGACGTCTGTTCCCATGAATATGTCAATCGGAACGAAACCCACCCTCATTGAGGTCAAGGGGATGAGGTTTCTGATCATGGACGCCCCAAAGCAAGGAAACTTGCATCTGTACATCAAAGAAATGCGGAAGCAGTCGGTCACCGATATTGTCAGAGTGTGTGAGCCGACTTATGTTGCCAGTGAGTTAACCACGGCTGGAATTCAAGTCCATGAGATGGAATATACAGATGGAACGTCGCCACCGAAGGAGTTAATCGACAAATGGCTGTTGCTGGTGGACCAAACGTTCTTCCAGCAGAAGTCGGGTGGTGATAGTAACCCATGCATCGCAGTTCATTGCGTTGCAGGCCTTGGTCGTGCTCCTGTGATGGTGGCTATTGCCTTGATTGAGTTTGTTGATATGGACCCAGTCGAAGCTGTTGCGTTAATTCGGCGACAAAGGCGAGGGGCCATCAATGAAAAGCAGCTACTCTACCTCGAGAAGTACAAAAAGTCCTACAAGAAAGGCGACGCAGCTTGTTGCATCATTCTTTAGATGCCGAGGAGGATAAAGAGCGTCACCGCCTTGCTGCTATGACGAAAAGAGGAGGTGGTAATCATTTTAAGTCGCATAACATTCATAGTTGTTAGTTGATTTCATAAAGCAGCACTGACAAACTCATCTATCTCGCTTCTAAAGTACCAAGTACCCAGCCGATAGTTTTGTATAGTCTACCGGATGTACAGCTGTATGTAAAGCTAGCTGTAGCTTGACAGTCCTCGGACTTGGATGTTTCTTGTAGTACATGAGTGGCAACTCATGTCCCAAATCCTTTGGCATTCCCGCCTCGTGAGCGTCCTTCCATTACAAATGGGTTAAGTGTCTTGATGAATACCACCTGACCCGAAGGACCTGCTTTCGCACCTCGTGGAGCCTAGAAAGTCAGAGTTGTAAACTTTGAAATTTCAGAAGCCGGCATAGCGGCTTCCGACATCGAGTTGTCATCTTGTGTTTGTTCGACCCGTGAGGGTGTCATTCAACAGCAAGGTCCCTCAATGGCTCGCCCTGCTTCCTGACCTTCCTCGATACGTTGGTACCGAGAGTCGTAGTAGGAAGTGTTTCACTGGCAAGCTTGCTTACTTTGTTGCATCGGACTCGTGCGTTGAATGCATAAGTATCCGCGAAACAGCCATGATGACTATTTCTGCCTTGAGCCAAGTGAGTGACGAAAGACGAAAGGCAAAACTATGAGCCAAGACGAAGTTACTCTGAAATCGAAGAACTGGAGAGTTTTTCGACTGACTCTCAGTACAAGATTACACGAATCCTACTGGACTCCCGTGGAAACACTTCGTCAACTGAAGCAAACTGATGTTGCTCCACCGACAAGTCCCACGATACCCCTCTTGATTGAGGAAGACTTAAAAGTTTCGCGGATACTTATGCTATCAACGCACGAGTCCGATGCAACAAAGTAAGCAAGCTTGCCAGTGAAACACTTCCTACTACGACTCTCGGTACCAACGTATCGAGGAAGGTCAGGAAGCAGGGCGAGCCATTGAGGGACCTTGCTGTTGAATGACACCCTCACGGGTCGAACAAACACAAGATGACAACTCGATGTCGGAAGCCGCTATGCCGGCTTCTGAAATTTCAAAGTTTACAACTCTGACTTTCTAGGCTCCACGAGGTGCGAAAGAAGGTCCTTCGGGTCAAGTGGTATTCATCAAGACACTTAACCCATTTGTAATGGAAGGACGCTCACGAGGGGGGAATGCCAAAGGATTTGGGACATGAGTTGCCACTCATGCCCTATCTCCTGATTTGGTTGATTTTGAAGGGATACATCTAGCAGGCTGAGGACATCAGACCCTTCCATGCCCTCCTCATGAATGAAAGTCTTTGACATCAGATTGAGGTTGGCTGGAACAAACAGGGTTCTGCATGCTCCTCTCCTCATTATGATCACTACCCAACAGATCGCTCATTGGTACCACTTCTAGCTTCTGCTGGAGAGGGCTGCAAGAGATATCCCCCCACTAAGATGAGTAGTTTAATATTTGTAACTATGTGAAGTTACAAATTCCAGGCTTGGTTATTGACAACAGATCCAGACCTCTTTCTCTCTAGCCGACCACCCCAAGCGCGCCCTAGCTAAGCAGGGTTAAGGCTAGATACAGAAATCAGAGAAGGATTCAAGGCACAATTTGGATTAGAGTTACTGAGATGACTTGGTCACTCGCTTGGACTCTATCCAAAACAAGCCTCACAATATTTGTTTGTCAAGATCCATCTTGCCTGCTGCTTGATTGAGTCTGCATAGACATGGGTTGAGCTATCTGGCACTGATCAGCCTGAAAGCACATCCCATGTCCTCTGCAGAAGTTTTCTTCTCAGTCTCTGGCTGGATAGACTGACTGGCAAGTACGAAGAGGATGAATAGAATCAGAACGAGGCCGTTGACGAGTGCGGGACCCTCGATTGTATTCAGTACATAGAGGAACTCAGAATTGCGGCAAACAATGGATTACACTCAACCTCGGTCAAAGGAAAGATCAAACTTATCGGTTTCGATTTTAAAAGTATCACGGATCCACCGGATATGTATCGCACGGCAGATCGATGCGTGCTTTGAAGAATAGAGTTGCACGGAGGAGTTGAGTGGCTACACGTGTACAGCTGTTGATGCAAATGGTCGTCGGTCCCGAAATGCTCCTTTTTTAAAGAGTGGGCAGTATCTGGCATGCCAAGCAAGCATCAAAGAGGATTGAATGCTGCTACACTGAAATCTTTGAGATGGTGATCTCTTCGCCTCTCTCAAGTCCGGGTGGCAAACCTACTATTAATACTCGACGATACCGTCCTGACGTTCGCGGAGGTGTGCCTTACGGGCTGGCCTACTAGCTAGTACCAGTACTGGAAGATTTAGAGTGGCATTGCCATTCTACAGCTATGTAACATCGTGGACCTACTAAGCCTCTTGCGTTTTGCAATGTGTTATCAGTACACGGGCAAATAGATAACCATATCGAGAATCTACCCGATATTGCTTGGACTTGGTGGACTCGTCTGCAGTCGGACACCCCACTTTGTGCAACGTTGGAAAACCAACAGATTCATACCGGTACCGTGTCTGCGCCTCGTATTGTTCGCTATATCGGCGCATTCACTCCCTCGAGACCTCCAAGGACGGGGAAGAGGTCTCCCTTCTAAGTGAAAAGCCGCTTTATGCATCACATACCGTACTGGTACTAGTATGCTGTTTCGTTGTTGCTCTAGAGCTCAAATGCCAGCCTGCGTACTACCATAAACAGCCACATTCGTAACCTTCCGGGAAAAGATTTCGGAAGTAATCGCAGGCGTCGGCCAGTTCCTCGTCAGGGTCGGTTTCGGTGATCAAGAAGTAGACCACTAAAGTTGCGGTTGCTGCAATGCCCGAAAGACCGAGGAAACCCCAGAGCAAAGCTCCACAGCAAGAACGGATAGGTTTTGCAAAAACCAGCATTCCCGCAAAGAACCCGCTGGCAAGACCGCCCATGTGCCCTGACCAGTCCACGTAGGTAAAGGAGCTCAAGAGTGACACCAGTGTCAAACCACACAAGACACTGCTGAGTTGGTCAACATGTATGCCTTCATCTTGGGACATGTCGTATGTTTCAAAGAATGTGTAAGTCAGGACATGTGCTAGCTTGGCGGCGAAGAGCCCCATCAAAGCCCCAGAGCTGCCCACCGCGATAGTCTCTGGATCTGCAACACATGATACTCCAACACAACCAATCTCGCTAACGATGAATATGAAGAGCCATGTCCAGGAACCCCACTCGCGTTCGAAGAGTGCCGATGAATAAAGTAGACAGAAGGCATTTGCGAGAAGATGCAGCACTCCAACGTGCAAGAAAGCCGGCGAAACCAAGCGCCAGTATTGTTGTTCGTTCAACATGAGATATGCGTTTTTCCCTCCCCATTCGCTAAAGGCATCAGGAAACGGTCCCACCATGGGGTTGACGTCTAGGGGCGCAACGCCGCACATAGCTAGCTGCAGCATCAATACCAGTAACTGCAGTGCTGTCACAGCTATGCTAGCGTAAGAGTGATCCTGCCTTGTTTGATAATAGCGGTCCTCAGACCAACTTGGCTTCTCAAGATGGGCCTCAGCTGAGGATCTCCCAATTCGTGATGCTGGTAAAGGCTCAGCATCAGAGAATGATTCTGATCCCTGGCAAAGGTTGAAGGGATCAGCAATTTCGTCCTGGGCATCGATGACTTCCTTTTTCATTTGGGAATACTCGTAGTCGCCTTCGTCGGCTTCCTCAAATTTTCTGTAGTTTTCGGCGTCGTGATAATCTCTTTTTGAATACTCAGTACGTCGCCTCCTCTCCCGTTCGCGCTCATATCGACTTCGATCGCGGTCGCGTCTGCTTCGTTCGCGCTCTCTTTCTCTTTCTCTTTCGCGCTCTCTTTCTCGCTCACGTTCAGCGTAGGCATGCCTCCGGCGTCTGTCTCGACTAGATGATCTCCGCCTTTCATCACGGCTATCATGGCCATATCTATCATCAGCATCCCTGTCTCCATGGTCGCCCTCAGGACGCTCTGGTGGTTCATAGTCACTACGACTACGATCTCTACTTTTGCTCCGCCGTTCAGGGTAGTCATGTTTGCTGTTTCGCTCCCGATCACGCCTATATTCCCGACCACGGCTTGACTTTGCCGAATTCCTTGTATCGAAGAGAGGGCTCTCTGCCGTGCTTTTGCTTGTACCACGTTTTCCCATCACATTGATGGTCGACGGCAGGTCTCTGGATGATGGCATTGTCTTTGCTACCTACATGCACTGTTGGAAAGCGCGCACAGGGTATGGTAGAGCCAATGGACAAGTTACCTCAATTCTTGTAGACGCTCTGCAACAATCTCTTCGGTGATTCTTCCCTTCAAGTGCCTGGTTGCTTGGCGATGGGCGATGCTGACCTTGGAGGAACCAGGAACGAGGGAGGGCAAGTGGCGATATTGTGAGGGCTGGGATGACTTCCGCCCGGGTATGGTGAACGACGCTCGCTTGTGCCTTAAGTACAAAACGAGGAGTTCCAGGCTTACTAACCTGTAGAGCTGTCAAAACACTTGAACCCTGCAAAGCGGTGTTGATGGTCATGCCACTTCACCATTGTCCTTGTTCGCGCCATTCCGCGGGAAGCTCCCCGGCCCGTTTCCGTTCTCAGCGTGGCCGACTCCGCGGCTAAATTAGCTGTCCTTTCAACCATCTTTGGGTCGTCGCATCCGAAAGCGCAAATCAGCAAAATATTCCAACCGGTGCGGACACTGTACTTTTAATTTCCGTCTGGCAGCATCCCATCGAGTTTCCATTTTCTTTCAAAATCACAAAGAAGATCCTTCGTGGTTCCAAAGTTGTGTCATCCTTGTTTTTAGCAGTATTCTATTCGATCAAGATGAGTTGGGTTGGCGTCACATTGAAGGATACCATTGGCAATCTAGGCAAAAACACCGACACTACGGAAACAACCGATATGGACTCCAATCTTCATGATGTTGAGCTAGAGCGTGGAGACTCTCTCAATCGGGCCGTGTCAATCGGTGAGGTTGGAGCTCCTGCTCGTTTCCGCCACATCAAGAACAACAAGTACATGCGTCGATTGTATCTTGTGTTGGCGGCATTGGCGGCAATCTTTGTCCTCAGTTCACTTCTTCGCTTGGCTGTCAAGGGTAAGAAGAACGGCGACGGCAGTAGTGGAGCTGTTGAAAACAGTGGCGTCGATTTCGATTTGTCTGGCGCGTCGCTTCGCTTGGCCCACTTGTACGTTTTCATGCACGATAACAGCAATGATGCATTGGACAGGGCATCACTCCGCAATGCTTCGTCCCCTCAGCGTAAAGCTCTTCAATGGATTGCTGACGAGGATCCCATGAAACTTGGCGTGCCTGAGACACGCTTTGATGCTTCCTACCCTGCCTTTGTTCAGCGCTATTCTGTGGCGGTATTGGCTTTTGCGACGGACACGAAAGCACTGGAGCCACTGGGTTTCTTGTCTGGTGCCAGTGAATGTCAGTGGAATGCCGACTTTCGACGCCCGGATGGTTCAATCTTGAAAATGGGTATCATTTGCAATGGCGAGCAGAACCAAGTGCAGAAGGTTGTCTTGCAAACCCTTGGCTTGTCAGGAACAATCCCTAGAGAGATTGGCCATCTTCACTCCGTCAAACACCTTCACCTTGATCAAAACGACCTGACAGGAATGCTTCCCCAATCAATGCGTCACATGTCACAGCTCCGCGAGTTTACGGCAACCAGGAACTCCCTCTCTGGACATCTTCCATCATTTCTCGGACAGATGGCTTCTCTCAGGCATATCGAGTTGTCCAAGAATCACTTTTCTGGTCACTTGAGTGCTTTTGCTACTAAGGCGAATGACGAATCGGTGGATGATTTGGTCAGCCCACTGCGTGTACTGGCGGTCGACAACAATCGATTAAGTGGTCCTCTTGAATACATTCGCTCGCTCTATGTCTTGGAAGAACTATACTTGGATGACAACGCCTTGACAGGACACTTGTCCGATAGCCTTACGGATCTCTCCCAGCTTGCTATCTTCACGGCTGCCAAGAACAAACTATCAGGGAAGGTTCCAGATTACTTGCTGCAACTGCCTTCTATGGCTGTGTTGGATCTGCACGCGAACTCTTTCTCCCAAGGATTCCCCCATGGCAACGCCACGACATTAAAGGTGAGCAACGAACATCCGAATGTGACGGAAACAGTAAGGAGGTCCAATTGTAATCTCACCCTTCTTGTCTTGGTCAGTATCTGGATCTTCACGCGAACAACATTGAAGGTTCGTAGGCAGACAAAATTCACGCCGTTAGTCGAGATGCAGGTGCCAGTTTCTTACTTTTGCACTTCTCTATGTTTAGGTGTTTTGCCGAGATCAATTGGATCGAAACCTGAGCTCGTCTACCTTGATGTGTCACAAAATGCCTTTACTGGTGGCCTCCCTGACGAGATCGGACGCTTGAGGAGCCTACAGTATCTGTTCCTGTCCGACAATCCCGGCCTGAAGCCAGCTGCAATTCCCAAATTCATTTGGGAGCTACCGGTTCTGGAATCCTTGTCATTGCGCAACACAGCTCGCACTGGAATGCTCCCTGACTGGCTTGTAGAGCTGGACCAGTTGCGACTGCTAGACTTGGAGCACAATGATTTGAATGGAACGCTGCCGGAAACCATGTTTAACATGTCATCTTTGGAGTACCTGTTCTTGAATCGAAATAGATTCGGCGGAACAATTCCAGAGACTTGGGGAAACCTCACGGAGATTGAATTGCTGAACCTGGATCACAACGAACTCAGCGGTCAAATGCCTGATTCAGTGTGTGCTTTGGATATGGAAGTGCTCGTTACGGACTGTGGGACTTCTGACGCTCAACCCGAGCCAGCAATTGAATGTGCCTGTTGCACTAAGTGCTGCCTTGCCTCAGCTTCGAATTGCAACGCTCGGGATTGGAGCAAACGGTTTGGCAACGATTGGGGTGGCAAATTCTATGAACGCTACAACATTGTTGAAGATGGCGACGTCTTCGAGATTGTTGATCGAAAGAACGACGGAGACCATGGAAACAACTAAAACCATTATGATAGGGCCTGTGCCTGCAGGTGTGGAGTTGAATAGAGTTAATTAGGTATTTATTGAAGATATGCAATCAAGGCTATCACAACGGGCCAGTAGTCGGTACCAGTACTTGATTGATGTGTTAGCACAGCGTGGACTCGACTACGCAGTTGATCAGACCAGTATGCATTTCCCTTCGAAAGGCCAAACAACCGACTATCTACAGCCGATGCAGCACCCTGTCAACCCACAGCACATGCAGAATCGAATCAAGATATCTTCTCCTTTCTCCTGTTGCACTGAAGTCGCAATAGTCGAGTGACGCAACAGCAACTCAACAAACGTTGCAGGTTGCAGGAGACATACCGGTACGATAAGACAAGTTGCCCCAGCCAGTCACAAAACCAGCATTGCTGTGTTCTAGTACAATATTGCCAACAGGGCCGACAACATGGAATAATATTGCAGACCTTCGAA